GTACATTGAAGTTTTTGCATATTAGTCTTTTCTTTCATATTTTAATGGCTAGCAACTTTAGAGGAACTTCCAAAATAAAAAAAAAATCAAGGATTATAAATGAAAGAATATTCTTGATTATTTCAGTGATTTCCAATATATCTCCTTGTCTGTCCTAACTAGACCCTTGAAGTATTTGAAGTACAGTATTGACTTCTTTTTTACAAAATCTTTGGACACATTAATTTAATGTTGATGAGAGTTCAAATTCCTTAATCTAATACTCAACGGTTTACTTTCATAGAAAATTACATTAATATGAATGGTCATAATGACAATTTTTTAATATTTTAAATTTCCCAAATTATAACTTCATTTTCTTCTTGGGAGCAATAATTTTTTATGTTTTTAAATTTTAATAATTTTCATAATCATTTACAGAGATTTTTGATTTCCATTCATTCATTGTTGCACTTTGCTCCCAGCCCAGCCCTTCCCTCTGCCCCTCCCAGTTCATTCTTCTCTTTTAAATGTAAAAAAAAAAAAACCACTCTTTCTTTGGTATACAATCCCCACGCAACCATCCCACTTCCCCAAGTACACTCCACTATGCAACCTTAACTGTGGACTCTTGTGATAACTATAATATCCTATCAAATATCGCTTTTCAATTATTCTCTCCCTCAACTGTTTCAATGCAGTATACACAATTTATCCAGTTTTTCTCAGTCTTACCCCAACCCTGATATCAGTCCCATTTTACAGCAGTGACACCATGCAGTATTTGTCCTTTTGCAACTGAAATACTTCACTCAGCATAATGTCCTCCAGGGTCACCCATTTTGAGTAATATTGCATGAGTTCCTTGTTTTTCAATGCAGCATAGTATTCCATTGTGTGAATATACCACAGTTTCTGTATCCATTCATTTGTTGATGGGCACCTGGGTTGTTTCCAACTCCTTGCTATTGTGAACAAAGCCACAATAAACATGGGTGTGCATATATCTGCTTGGATGTCAGTTATGGTCTCTTTGGGGTATATTCCCAGTATTAGAATTGCTGAGTTAAATGATATCTCTATTTGCAACTTTTTGAGAAAGCACCATACTGCCTTCCACAGTGGTTGCACCATTTTACACTCCCACCAACAGTGAATAAGGGTTCCAGTTACTCCACAACCTCGCCAGCATTTGTTGCTTGCTGTTCTGTTAAATTTTGCTATTCTGACTGGGGTGAGATGATATCTCATCATTGTTTTTATTTGCAACTCTCTTAGAGCTAGGGATCTTGAACATTTCTTCATGTGCTTGTTGGCCATATGAATGTCTTCTTTGGTGAAGTGTCTGTTCATATCCTGTGCCCATTTTTCAATTGGATTAATTACCTTTATCTTGTTGTGGTGCTCAAGTATTTTATAAATTCTAGATATAAGTCCCTTATCTGACATGTCATTCCCAAATACCTTTTCCCAGTCTGTAGCTTCACTTTTTACCCTGTTGGAGAAGTTTTTGGATGTGCATAGGGATTTGATTCTTAGAAGATCCCATTCATCTACTTTATCTTTTCCTGGTGTTGGGGAGCAATAAAATTTTTATGCAGTAACCACTAACCAGATTAAACTATAAGCATTTTAGAAATATTAACTGACCTGATTCAAAATTTACATGTATATTCTTCTGATCCATCCCGATGTTGCCTATCGGTCCAGTGGTAAGAATCTTCATCTTCTTAACATTGAGATGCAATTCATATCAAAGTCTGCATTCTTGATCTTCTGCAACAAGATCTTCAAGTCCTCCTCATTTTCAGCAAGCAAGATTGTGTCATCTGAATAACGTAGGTTATTGATGAGTCTCCCCCCATACCTGATGCCACAATCCTCTTTATAGAGTCCAGTGTCTCATATAATTTGCTCAGCATACAGATTGAATAGGTATGGAGAGAAAAATATAACCCTGATGCACTCTATTCTTAATTTTAGACCAGGCACTATTCCCCCACTCTGTTTGCACAACAGCCTCTTGGTCTAGGTATAGGTTCCACATGGGAACAATTAAGTGCTCTGAGACTCCAATTCTTCTCACTGTTAGACACAACTTGTTACGATCCACTCAGTCAAATGCCTTTGCATAGTCAATAAAGCCCAGGCAGACATTCTTCTGGTATTCTTTACTTTCAGTCAGGATCCATCTGACATGAGCAATGATATCCCTGGTGCCACAGCCTCTTCTAAATCCTGCTTGAATTTCTGGCAGTTCCCTGTCTATGTACTGTTCCAGCCGTTTTTTAATCATCTTCAGCAGTATTTTGCTTGCATGTGATATTAATGATATTGTTTGATAGTTTCCATATTCAGTTGAATCACTTTTCTTGAGAATGGAAACAAATATGGACCTCTTCCAATCCATTGGCCATACAGCTGTCCTCCAAATTTCTTAGCATAGACTGATGAGCATACCCAATGCTGCATCTGTTAATTGAAACAAGTCAATTGGTATCCCATTGATTCCTGGGGACTTATTTTTTGCCAAGGCCTGCAATGCAGCTTCTATTTCCTCTTTCATTACCATTGGCTCCTGCTCAGATAGGCAACATGATGGATGGAGAGGAGTTTGAAACTGCCAACAGCTTCATCTTGCTTGGATCCACTATTAACACCAAAACAGTCAAGAAACAAGGAGATGCACTGCACTGGGAAAATCTGCACTGAGGGACCTCTCCAAATTATTTAGAAGCAATAATGTCAGTTTGAGGATTAAGGTGCATCTGATGCAGGCCATAGAGTTTCCAATCACTTGCTATGCATCTGGACAATGAATATACACAGCTAGACAGTGAATAAGAATGACAGAAGAATTGACACCTTTGAGCTGTGGTGCTGGAGGAAGAGCACTGAACATATGTCTTGGAAAAGGTGTAGCCAGAGTGCTCTTTGGAGGCAAGAATGACAAGGCTTCACCTCACATACTTTGGGCATGTTGCTGCTGCGTTGTGTACCACAGAGTCAGAACTAACCCATAACTGAGGTTGGGTTTTCAGGGGCAGTTAATCACATAGGAGGATATTGCCCATTCTTCTCTGGCAGAGCAACTAGTGGCCTCAAACCACATGCCTTTGGGATTGCAGCGCAGCTTCTTGCCCCTAAGCCACAAGAGCTCCCTAGGAGGGGATATTCTTTGGAGAGGGACATGATGCTGGGAAGGGTAGAGGTCAGCAAAGGAAAGGAAGATCTTCAACCAGGTGGATTGACACAGAGACTACTGCAGCGGGCTCTTGTGTATCAGGAAGTGGGAGGACGGGACAGGATAGAACGAGGTTCAAATCTTTTGTTCATAGGGTCTCTATGACTCATACTCGATGGCACCTAATAACAACAACCACAACACCCTCTGATCAAAATATTTACCTTCTATTTCATATATAAAATACAAATATGAATTACTCTTAAATAATTCTCCAATGTATCCATTACTCCATACTTTAACAAGTGTTTCTCATACTAAAAATAATAATTTTCTAAATGTCTTACTCACTGCCTTCAGATCCATTCCTACTCAGAGCGACCCTCCATTGAGTTTTCAAGGTGGTAAATCCTAACCCAAAGACGGAACGTTTTTCTCCCAAGGACTTGTTGCTTGTTGTGTGACATCAGTAGGAACCAACTCGTGAAGCTAAACTTCAGGCAGGATTTCAGAGAATTTCAAATCGTACAGGAGGAGATTGTCCATCTTTCTCTCACAGAGTAGCTAGTGGATTAAAACCATATTAACAGTGCAACTCCTTACCGCTAGGCCACTATGCCTCCCTCAGGAGTCACTGGTAAATTTGAACCAACAGAAAAAGTCAGCACGTGGATTAGCAGCGCAACTTGCTACTGACGACACAACCAGAGGTTTCTTTACTGCACATAGACGCTAAAAAAGACTTTAATGTTTTTACATTACTACAATAACTTATCTTAGAGTAAAACTATACCTCAAAATAGTAAAACATCATAAATGGAATTATATTTGTAACAATAAATTATATACTCCCTTCTTATTTTAGTAGAACAAAAAATTAAGTATAAAGTAAAAACTATAAAAAATATTCTGTAAAATATTTAAACTGCTTAAAAATTACAATACATAAACACTACCTCATTTAACACTATAGGACACTGAAAGAATGGAGAAGATGGGATGGATGAACTCAGACCAAAAAATAAAAGAGAGTAAAAATAAAAATAGCCATAAGCCAATATGTAGAAAATCATGTAAATTCAAAACCTATTAGAAATGTTCAGCAAAAAAATATAACTTACACAAGTAACATTTTATTATTAATAGAAACTCACATGGCAATAATTTTTTTAAAAGCATTTAAAAATTTTTTTTAAAAGAAACATGAAACGTGATAGAGAGGAGACTGAATCTGTCAACAGCTTCATCTTGCTTGGATCCACAATTAACACCCTTGGTACCAGCAATCAGGAAATAGGGAGATGCATTGCACTGAAGAAATCTACAGTTAGGGACCTTTCCAAAGTATTGAGGAGTAGTGATGTCAGTTTCAGGACTAAGGTGCATCTGATTCTGGCCATACTCTTTACAATTACTAGCTATGCCCCGGAGACTGGGACAATGAATAAGGATGACAGAAAAAGAATTGATGCCTTTGATGGTTGGAGCAGAGCACTGAACATCCCATGCACAGCCAAGAGGACGAACTGATATATCGTGGACAGTCAAGAAGACGAACTGATATATCTTCGGAGTCGGTCTTGATGGAGTGCTCTTTGGAGGCCAGAATGATGAAGTTTCTCATATATTTTGAAAATGTTGCTAGAAGTGACTATTGTTTGGGGAGGGATATGATGTTAAAAAGGGTGGAGGGTCGGCGAAGGAGAGAAAAACCCTCAACCGAGTGGACTGACATGGCAACTGCTAGAGTGGGCTCTTGTGTGTCAGGAAGCGTGAGGATGGCAAAGGATAGAACAGGGTTCAGACCTTTTATTCATATAGTCTCTAAGAGTAGTGCTCAACTCGAGGGCACCTAACAAGAAAAAGAAGAAGAACAAGTGCAACGAAAGTCAGATGTAGGAAAAACACTGTGGAAAATAGGAGAAAACAAAAAAAATTCCAAATAAATAATTTTTAAATTGCAAAACAGGAGCTGACTTACTTTGCCGTTTAAATCCTGTTGTTCATTTAAATCTTCTGTTCCTGGACCTGGAGGTAGGCTGGGGCTGAAGGCCATGAGGTCGGTCTTGGGAGGCCCCTCCCCAGAGCACACCCTCTGCCTCCTCTGCTGGGAGCACGACCAACTCCCCACCGCGCTCGAACACACCAGCCTCGGCTTCCCCGGACCGCACGCGCCCTCTGCCGCCGGCGCCGAGCACCGCAGCGCCGTGTACAGCAGCAGCGTCAGCACCAGCAGGCTGGACACCGCGCAGATGGCCACGATCAGGTACACGTTCACGTCCACCAGCGCCGCCTCCGGGCCCGGGACGCCCGCAGACACCTGCGACGACGTCTTCAGCGCCTGGCCGCTCTCCACCAGCGACACCAGCACGGTGGCCGTGGCCGTCAGCGCGGGCTCCCCGTGGTCCTTGACCAGCACCAGCAGCCGCTGCCGCGGCGCGTCCGCCTCGTCCAGGGCGCGCGTCGTGCTCACCTCGCCCGTGTACAGACCCACGCGGAACGGGCCGGCCGCGCCGCCCGCCGCCGCCTGCAGCTCATACGACAGCCACGCGTTGTAGCCCGAGTCCGCGTCCACCGCGCGCACCTTCGCCACCACGTAGCCCGCGCCCACCGACCGCGCCACCACCTCGCTCCGCGCCACGCCCGCCACGCCCGCCGCGGACCACGCGCCCGAGCCAGAGCCCGAGCCCGAGGCGGAGGCGGGCGGCAGCAGCGTGGGCGCATTGTCGTTCTCATCCAGCACGAATACCTGCAGCGTCACGTTGCTGCCCAGAGGCGGGAAGCCCGCGTCGCGCGCGCTCACCTGGAACTGCAGCAGCTCCAGCTCCTCGTGGTCCAGCGGCTGCAGCGCGTACACCTTGCCGCTCTCCGCGTGCACAGACACGTAGCTCGACAGCGAGCGCTCGCCCACCCGCCGCTCCACCAGCGAGTAGGACACCAGCGCATTCTCCTGCGCGTCCGCGTCCTGGGCCGACACCGTGAAGATGTGGCAGCCCGGAGGGTTGTTCTCCTTCACGAACACCGTGTACTCAGGCTGCGCGAACGCGGGCGCGTTGTCGTTCACGTCGGCCACCTCCACGGACACGCTGGCTGAGGCCGACAGGGCAGGGGCGCCCCCGTCCCGCGCCGTCACCACCAGATCATAGGCCGGCACGCTCTCGCGGTCCAGGGCTCCGTCCAGCACCAGCGAGTAGTAATTCTTGAAGGTGGACACAAGCTTGAAGGGGGTGTGGGGCGTCAAGGAGCAGGTTACCTGCCCGTTTACACCAGCATCTTGATCTGAAACGCTTATCAGGGCGATGACAGTACCAAGCGGAGCATCCTCTCTGACCGGAAGAGACAATGAGGTCAAAGTAATCTGAGGAGCATTATCATTAATATCCAAAATTTTTACTAAAATTGTGCAGTGCCCCACCATAGGAGGTTGACCTTTGTCTGTGGCATCAATACGGATTTTGTATGAATTAACTTTTTCAAAATCGAGGTTCTTTCGAGTTATTATTTCTCCTGTATTTGAATCTATGCTAAACTGGGCAAAAATCATGGGTGAAACAAGGCTATTAAATGAGTAAGAAATTTCCTTATTCACTCCTTCATCTCGATCAGTAGCATTAAGCCTGATAACTACTGTTCCATTCTCCGCGTTCTCGAACATTCTTACTTTGTACTCAGACTGCTGGAAACTGGGAGCGTTGTCGTTCACATCCAGGACTGTGACCAAGAGCTGGACAGTTCCCGTGAGCTCAGGTTTACCTCCGTCAGTGGCCGTCAGGAAAAGCTTATGTTCAGATACTTCCTCTCTGTCCAAGGGTTTCCTTAACACGAGCTCAATCTGTTTATTCTCTTCGTTATTAGAATTCACATCCAGTGTAAAGTATTCACTAGAGCTAAGTCTATAGGTTAAAACAGAATTAGTTCCAATATCCGCGTCCGATCCGCCCTCTAGCGGAAACCTTGAGTCTGGCATTCTTGATTCTGACACAAACAGCTTTTGTTCCCTTACCGGGAACACTGGCGCGTTGTCGTTAATGTCCTTCACCTCCACCTCCACGTGGAAGACCTGCAGCGGCTTGTCCACGATCACCTCCAGGTGGATGCTGCACCCCGCGCTCCGCCCGCACAGCTCCTCGCGGTCGATGCGAGAATTCACAAACAGAATGCCGTTCTGCAGATTCACCTCCAGAAGGTCCCCGCGGCCTCTGGAAGCCACCCGGAACAGGCGCGGCACCAGCTCCGCCAGCTCCAGCCCCAGGTCCTGCGCGATGCGGCCCACGAACGTGCCGTGTTTGGCCTCCTCGGGCACCGAGTAGTGGACCTGACCGCTCCCCGCCTCCCAGGCTGCCAAGAAGAAAAGCGACAGCAGCAGGCGCCCGGATATCAGGGCTCCTCGCCAGGAAAACACCATTTCAAGTATTCGTTTTATTCTCATCAATAGATCTTGTCTTGAAATAAAATAACCTACTGTATTGTCTGGAGTAATTTAATTCAAGTCCTCCTCTTCCGCCATTGTTCAGCATTTAATGTGGGCAGATATAACCAAGGGGATCGGTTCTTCTGGAGTTTGACTGGAGAGAACATCTTGGTAGACAGCGACATCAAGCGGCTCAAAAGGTAATGATTACATGAATTACCTCTTTATTTGGGTTTCAAGAATCCTTTCCTTCATTAATTCTAATATTGTGTTATCACATTATAAAATACAAAGATATTTTTAAACTGCCTTATTCCTTAATTAATTTCGTTTCTATCATATATTCCTTCAAAATCAAAAACATTCCTTCTCAATATTTCCAATATTTGTATAAATTAACAATAAGTTGAGGTGAAATCGGAAAATGTCATGGGTATTACAAGTTTAAAATTATCCCTTAGATCTTGTGTTATAAATGTGTCCATATTGACTGCGTCACAGCAAATAGTTATATATATTACTCTGGAATGAATGAAGAAATAATTCTAACTTTTCTCTTTTTCATCACACTTTTTAAAAAATTGTGAATTACAGTTCCGGGTTTATTATTTCAACAAATGTCAAATATTCCTTTAAAATATTACTTAAAACCTTTGCATCTTGTTAAAAATACACCTGTTATGTAAAATGCCTGTTATAAAAGTATTTGGCACCAAAACTATTATTAGCATTTTTATTATTGATGTTTTCTTTTCATTATTAGTATTTCAGATCTAATAATATAGATACTCTCCAAAATAATGCTTTCACACTTTTTATTTTGTCAGTCTTTCCCAATTAATATATTTTTGCTTCCATATCTTAAAATACTTCTGAAGCTTCATTATTAAACATTTTCAATTCCATATTTTCAATGTTATTTTTCCTTTACTACTTAAAATTTTCACTTTATACTCCTTACACTGACTACAGAACAAACAAGCTGACTAAATTTTATCTAATCAATATTGTTGTTACGTCTCCTCAGGTTGATTCTGACCTTAATTAATAGTTACATCAAAATCCAAATATCTGAAAATATTATATTACTTTTCAATAATACTCTCCAAATTCACTTATATATCTTTTTAACATGACAACAATCCCTTTGCCTGCCGCATTCAATGTTTGCCTACATCTCATTGTCCCTTATTTCTCATATAATTTTGTTTATGCATATAGGTTACATTTAGTTGTACTCAAACCTCAATCAAATCCACCACTTTTCTGATTTAAAAAAATGCCAAGAGATTGGCACAATATGAGGGAGACTGCAATACTCCAGTATTGGTATTGTTATTGATTGCTATTGAATCAGAACCAACTCATAGCTGACCCTCTAGGGGAGATACACACACACACACACACACATTCTGTCTTCTCTATTTAATTTGTGTCTTCTGTCAACTCCTCATCACCTGTCAAAATTCTATCCACACTTTCAACACTTAGTTAAATGTTAATTATTCACATAGTCATCATAAAGGCCTCATTTGCAGTTGATCGTACTCTCCTTTGAATTTGTATAATAATAAATCTTCAGGGGGAAGACAAGTAATACTCCTTCACTTATTCATGGCTCTGACTGACTTGAAATAGCCTGACAGATGACTAGATACAATCAAAGTGTTTAACCTGGAGACTAGTCTTACTGTTTTTCACTTATATTACACTAGAGATGGGAGTTCTGGTGACTTTATGGTACAGAGTGGTGCTGCCAACCCAAAATGCCATTAATATCTACCAGCTATTCTGTAGCAGAAAGTTGGGTAATCTCTTTTGCTATTTATTGTCTCTGAAAACCCACTGGAGTGTCAGCTAAGAGCTGGTTGGACTTGCTGGTATATAACAACAACACACTAGAGAAGCTATTGCTGAACTCTTTGTAGGTTTTTTCCTTGAGAACAAAGGGTTCTATAAGGAGCACCCAAGTTGCACTTTCTCCAAGATAGACGTGTTTATTCTTTTGGCAGTTGATGGCATATTCAGCAGTTTTCTCCAACATCACAACTCAGAGACATCAATTCTTCTGTCATATTTAGGCATTGCCCAATTTTCAGATGCATAGAGAGTAACAGAAAAGAAAATGGCTTGGATGAGGGTCACCTTAGCCTTTAAATTGAGCTCCTTGCTCTTCAGCACTTTTGAAAAGGTTCTTGACCACAGAAGTTTCCAGTGGAATAGATCTTTTACTTCTGCTATTACCATAGGTGTTGATTGTAAATCCAAGTAAAATAAAATCCTTGGCAACTTTAATCTTTTCTCCATCTATCATGATGTTGTGTATTGATGAGGTTTCATCCACCACTGGTCAGGATTTTTGTTTACTTGGTGATTAGGTATAATTCATATTGAAGAATGCAGTGTTTGATCTTCTACAGCAAGTGTTTCAAGTCCTCTTCATTTTCAGCAAGCAAGGTCAAGTTGTGTCATCTTTATAACACAGTTTGCTGAAGAGATTTCCTCCAATCCCAATGCCACATTCATTTTCATATAGTCCAATTGCTGGAATTATTTACTCAGCATATAGATTGACTAGGTATAGAGAAAGGATGCAACCCTGATGCACATCTTTTCTGACTTTAAATCATGCTGTGTTCACTTGTTCTGTTTGGACAACTTATTCTTGGTATATATTGAATGATTCAGGAAGCATCAAAACAAAGTAGGAGTACACAACAGAGTCACTGCACCAAAAAGAACTGGTGGACACAGAAGAATTTCACACAACAACATGATCAAGAGGCAATGGTAATGAAAGACGTTAAAGCTCCTCTGAAAAAAATTGGCAAAAAATAAGTCCCCAGGAATTGGTGGAATACTAATTGACATGTTTCAACAATCTGATGCAGTCCTGGGTGTGCTTACCACATTGTGCCAAGAAATCTGGATGACAATTATCTGACCAACTGACTAGAAGCAATCCATATTTATTCCCATTTTTCTTTAAATGGTGATTTGACAGAGTATAGAAATTATCAAATATTATTACTAATATCATATGCAAGGAAAACAAACCCTGCTGAAGATTATCCAAGAATTACTGGAACAGTACATTGACAGAGAACTACTAGAAGTGCAAGCTGGGTTTAAAAGAGGCCGTGGCACTAGGGACATCGTAGCCAATGCCAAATGGACCTTGGCTAAAAGCAGTGAGCACCAGAGGAATGTCTACATAAAAGCATTTGACTGTGTGGATCACAATTAAATGTATCTAACTTTGAGAAGAATGGGAATCTCAGAATACTTGCTTGTGCTTATGCCAAAACTATATTTGGACCAGGAGAAAGTTGTCAGAACAGAGTAAGGAAACACTGCATGGTTCAAAATCAGGAAAGGAATATGTCAGGGATGCATCCTGTCTTCGTGCCTTTTCAATCTATATACAGAACAGATCATTTGGGAGGCTGGACTTTATGATGAGGATTGGGACATCAGGACTGGAGGAAGACTCGTCAACAACCTGCCTGATGTACATGATACAACATTGCTTGTGGAAACTGAAGAAAACCTGAAGTGTTTGCTATAGAAGGTCAAGGACTGAAATCTTCTATATGGATTGAAGTTTAACATCAAGAAAACAAAGATTCTCATCACTGGGCCAATTGGCTGCAACATGATAGACGGTGATTGAGACTGTGAACAATTTCAGCTTGTTTGGTTCCATAATTAACACTCAATCAGGAGTCAAAAGATGAATTGCATTAGTAAAATCTGCTGTCAGAGATCTCTCCAGAGTGCTGAAGGGCAACGATGTCAGTCTAGAATAAGGTGCATCTGATCTAGGCCATGATCTTTGCAATTACTTGCTATGCATCAGAGAGCTGGACAATGACTAAGGATGACAGAAGAAAAATTGGTGCCTTTGAGTTGTGGTGCTGGAGAAGAGTACTGAACATACCATGGACTGTCAAAAAAACAAACAGGTTTGTCCTAAAGAGGATGAAACCAAGTTGCTCCTTGGAGGCAAGGATTTTGAAGCTCCATCTCACATACTTTGAGCATGTTGTTAGGATGGAGCAGTCATACTTGGAAGAGTTAAGAGTCAGTGAAGAAAGGAAGACCCTGGATGAGATGAATTGACACAATGGAGGTATGTGTATTGGAGACAGTGAGATTGGCTCAGAATAGAACCAGGTTCAGAGCTATTGTCACAGTTGACTCAATGACAGATGACTGACATAAATTTCACATGAGCACAATCTCATTCTTCTTAATGTTATCTATAATTTGTTAATATTTAATAGTCAATAAGACACACACAAAAAGATCCTTCTGTATGCTCTACTTTCAGCCAGGATCTATCTGACATAAGCAATGATATCCCTCACTCTATAGTCTCTTCTGAATCCAGCTTGAAATTCTGGTAGTTCCCTGTCCATGTTTTAGCTCTTTTTGAATAATCACCAGTAAGACTTTAGTTGCATGTGCTATTATTGATATTGATTGATAATTTCCACAGTCTGCTGGATGACATTTTTTTTTCAGAATGAGAATAAAAATTAATCTCTTTCAGTCAGTTGGCCAGGTAGCTTTCTTCCAAGTTCCTTGATAGAGACTAATATCTAGAACTTTATCTTTTGGTGCAGTCTAATACCCTTTGGTATTCCATCAATTCATAAAGTCTTGTCTTTTGCTTAAACCTAAATGCAGCTTAAACTTGCTCTTCATTACCATTGGTTTTTCATCATATGCTACTTTTTCTGAAACAGAATTATTTTAGGTACACTGACTGTGCATCCCTTACATCTTATTTTAATGCTTCTTAGATCATTCAAGCATTTGCCCATAGAATCCTTCAGTATTTCAACTTGAAGCTTGAATTTGTTTTTTAGTTTTTTCAACTTGAGAAATGCCAAACTTGTTCCTCCATCTTTATTTTCTAATTTCAATTCTCTGCATGTTTGTTTTAATACTTTAGTTTGTTTTCTTGAGCTGTCCTTTGACATCTCCTATTAATCTCTTTTCCTTGGGTATTTCTTCCATTTCCTTTGGCTTCTTTGTATTCTTCAGTGTTTCTTCTGACATTCATTTTGGTCTTTTCTTTCTCTAATGTCTTTATAAACAGATTTTGCTTTCTTCATGAATGATATCCTTGATGCCATCAGCTCATCTGATCTTCAATCATTGGTATTCAATGCATCAAATATATTTTAGAGATAGTTTTTAAATTTAGGTGAGATTGAATAAAGGTGTGGTTCTTGTGGACTTCTTTTCTTCAATTTAAATTAGAATGCAGTATAACATATAAAAAAGTATCATGTGCTTCTTTATCTAATAAAATGAGAAAGATCTCTGGGTTAACATGGCATGAACATCACTATATATTAAGGTAGTTCTTGTGGTGCTATACTGTAGAGTTGGGACTGACCCATAGCAGGTTTTCAGAGATAGTTAATCACAGCAGAGGAAATTGCCTATCTTTCTCGCATGGAGCAATGAGTGGCTTCAAGCAGCATGCCTTCAGGATTTCAGTGCAGCTTCTTGCCACTAAGCCATCAGAGCTCTCTTATATTAAAGTAGAAAAATATAAAATGCTAAAGTATACATTTATGGGTTTTACATATTTGCTTGTATAAAGAAAGACAAACTATTTATTCCTCTGGATGGATGGATGAGTGGATGGATGGATGAATAGACAGACAGACAGACACATAATCATATTTAGCAGTCTTAGTGGCACATTGATTAAGCACTTGGCTACTGACTGAAAAGGTCATCAGTTTAAGTAAATTTAGCTTTTACAATTTTTTAAGATCTTGGAAAGTATAAAGGAAATGGAAAACTATCAGAAATTCAGAGACAAAGTAAATGGTTTGGGTTTTAAAAGGAGACTTTTCATTATGGACTTAATTTCTTGGATTTTTAAGTATGTGAATATATCTCCTACAGTAACAAGAAAAAATTCGCTGCTACACTGCCATTTAAATGTCATTTTTAAATATCATTAATCATAAGCGTGACAAAGACAAGTCCACAAGTAGCATAAAAAGAAATCAGTAGCTGTATAAATGTAACTAAAAAGAATATGGATTGCTGACTAACAAGAAAATAATTCCACTTTTTAGCTAAAAAGAAAAAATATTTGACCATATTGGCTTACAATTTTTTCTAAAACAAGGAAAATAGATTAAATCTATCAAAACCTATTTTTTGAAATTATGTTATTCAAGATTGATGTGCACATAATTAACATTTAATTTTAAAAATCTAGTGTCATAATGGGCAAGATGTGCTGTCAACCTAAAGACAGCTGCTCCATTGAAGATTTACAGCCTCTAAAAGCCCCTGGAAGGCCAGCTTTGAGTATCTTCCCAGACACTCCACAGCAATGAATTGTTGAGGGTTTAGACTACCATGGTGGCAGGGATTTGAATACTGTGGGGTGGCATAAGTTTGGCTGCTGAAGGTCATCTATTGGAAATCACCCGGAGTCTGTTCCCATTGAAATGTTCAGCCTCAGAAATCCAATAGAGGTTTGCCACAAGTCGAAAAAATTCCAGACATCAAGGTTTTGGTGTAATGTAAGGCAAAGAAAATAAATTATTCAAAATAATAAAGTTTATCTAAGAGTGTAAGTCACTAACATAAACCTGTGGTTTCACAGTGATAACATGCTCCAAAAAGTAACCATAAAAGGCATTTAGAGAGTTAACATTAATCAGAGAAACAGATACAAAGCTATTAAAGTTAAACCTAAATAGATGGAAGTACTATTTGGGTAGACTGTACTGAAGTATCTTGGAGTTTCTGAGATGCTGAACACTGCGCCATAAGTGTGTCAAACAAAATAATGGTTAGTCATTGTGGGTAGTGTTTGGTGGAGCTCGAAGAATGATTCACATTTGTGGGTAATTACAGAACAGGCTTCAGGTCTTTTATACATAGGGTCATTATGAGTCTTTCTCTACACGATGGCACTTAACAAGTTTCAAGTACTGATTTTAGAACAGGACTGGAAGCAGGAGTGGCATCCACTTCCTAAACTGCATGCCTATGGAATCTCTATGAACTTGGAGAAATAATGATAATTATTGAAAGACTATAGGTCTTCTCTTTATAGCCCACTATGAGTCGTAATCCACTCAATGGCAATCAACAACAACAAATTGGTTTATACATTGAGAATAAGATTGTGTTACACTCACGGTGTCTGCAGAGCTGGGACCCTGAGGTAGGCTGGGGCTGAAGGCCATGAGGTCGGTCTTGGGAGGCCCCTCCCCAGAGCACACCCTCTGCCTCCTCTGCTGGGAGCATGACCAGCTCCCCACCGCGCTCGAACACACCAGCCTCGGCTTCCCCGGACCGCACGCGCCCTCTGCCGCCGGCGCCGAGCACCGCAGCGCCGTGTA